CACCACATCCACCAGACATATTTCACTGGCAATATTCTGGAATTTTTTTTTAAAAATTAAAAATTAATTTTTTAAAAATTTTAAAAAATTCAAAAATTAAAAAATTAAATTTTTAAATTAACCTAAAATAGCGTCACTAACCTGCTGAAGTATACTGTAGGCGCAAGCCATACCCACTTGGCCAACACCCACCACGGTCACCTTACCGTGTGGCTGTTTATGGGCTGGTGCGATCTCCTTGAAAAGCGCTTTAGCAGTTTCGGCCATCCTGAAATTAATTTCAGGTTCCACTTTCGAAAATTTTGCAACCAAAACAAAAATGCAATGATTCGTTTGGCAAAACAAGAATGTGGGCAACATTTCAGGCTCAATTTGGCGCTGTTACAAGGGTGGCGAGTCGCGACTGCTTGATAAGCTCACTGATAACGCACTGATAAGATAACTGATAATGCACTGATAAGAGCTCATAAAAGCTGATAAGGTCACTGATAATGCACTGATAAGAGCTGATAAGATCACTAATTTCATGGCATTCTTGATGAAATGATCAAATTTTTCTCAAAAATATTGGAAAATACAGCATAACAGAGAGTATTGACCATAACAAACGATCTAGCTTTAAGCTCACTGATAAGAGCTGATAAGATCACTGATAAGAACTGATAAAATCACTGATAATGCACTGATAAGAGCTGATAAAATCACTGATTTAGAGGCATTCTCGATGAAATGATCAAAATTTTCTCAAAACAATCGGAAAAATACAGCATAACAGAGAGCATTGGCCTTAACAAATGATCTAGCTTTAAGCTCACTGATAAGATCACTGATAATCTCACTGATAATACACTGATAAGAACTGATAAAATCACTGATAATGCACTGATAAGAGCTGATAAAATCACTAATTAAGTGGCATTCTGAATGAAATGATCAAATTTTTCTCAAAAAATCAGAAAAATACAGCATAACAGAGAGCATTGGCAGTATCAAATGATCTATTTCGAATATTCTTTGACTTATACGTATACTTTTGTACTGAATATCGATAGAATTGTGTGTGTTTAGTGGTCTTATTGAATTTTGCATTATATTAACGTCATCATCCAACCAAACGACCTTCACAATAAAATTCCGACGAGAGATCAAGAAAATGTACACAAAACACTAGAGATTCAGACAGTAAAAGATAGTGGAAGACAGAGAGAGAAGGCGGGCTGCCATATCATTAGTACAACCAGCTGGCTGGCGTCATCGGTTGGCAGGAAGGAATATTTATTTAACTATATTTGAGAATATGAATCATAACCTTTCGCAATTTGAGAGGGTATTTGGCTGCTTCAGCATGTTTTGCTATATGGCTGCAATATGTGTTATGAAGAATCTTAATTTCAGGTCAGTTTTGGCAACTATCGACCCTAATTTCAGGTCAATTCAGCGAAATGCCGACCCTAATTTCAGGTCAGTTTCGAAAAATGCCGACCCTAATTTCAGGTCTTCTACACAAAACGATAACCTCAAATTACCTTATCAATCGATCAAATCAACTGCTCAGCGATATTGCGCAAAATTTTCCAATTTCATTGGGA